CTTTTATTTTTTTTGCTGTTCTGATTGGGTGTTTTTTGCTTCCTTTTATTCCAAATTGATGGTTTGTTTCTTGGCTTTACCTACTCAACTATTGAATCTGTGTAAATTATTTTTTTATTTCAGTTAGTGCCTCCTTCATTTCTGACTGTGCAGCCTTCATTTCTGATTGGTCCTTTTTTATGCTCTTGAGGCCCTCACTAAGTTCGCTGAGGTTCTCACTAAGTTCATTGAGCATCTTTATAAGCAGTGTTTTGTATTCAGCATCTGTTAGGTTGCTCATCTTCATTTTGCTTAGTTCTTTTCCTGGAGTTTTGTTCTGTTCTTTAATTTGGGACCTGTTTCTTTGTCTCCTCATTTTGGCTGCCTCCCTGTGTTTGTTTCTATTTATTACTTAATGAGAGGTATGGGGCTAGCTGAGACCAGATTCTGCTTGTTTGAAAGAATTTAGGAAAACCTGAAGCAGGATCCAAGACAGGCCAATCCTATGGAAAGGCAACTGGCAACATCTTGGGTGGGCCTGAAAGGTGGGTGGGGCAAGGCCTCATGGAATCACCAGGGTGGGGCAGACAGTGTGAGCCAGGTTGCTGGAGTCCCAGATATGGGGGCTGTCTCCAGCTCCAGGGAAGGGCTCACCAAAGGAACAAAGGCCTCTGATAGCATGTCTGTCCAAGAGAAAGCCCCCTCTCCAACCCTAGCTCCGATGCCAAACAGCTCAGTTCTTCCCTGTATGTCTTTGGTGCCCCTCAAGCTGCTTCTCCTCTGAACTTAGATAGAGCAACTCCAAGTAAGTTTGTGCACGGGCCCTTTAAGAGAAGCTGCCTGGGGCTCCAGCTGCTCAGCCTCCCTCAGCCTCAGTTCCTGCTGGTTTTTCCAGCCTTAAGTTATGGCACTGGAACCCCTAGCGGGGCACCTGGTGTGCGACGAAGACCCCTCAGTCCTCAGCCGAGGTATCCTCCTAATTTTTATCTGCCACATGTGGGTGTCAGACCAGCCCATCACGCCTCCGCCCCTCCTACCAGTCTCCATGTGGTTTCTTCTTTAATTTCGTAGATGTATGACTTCCATTCAGCTTGATTTCAGGTGGCTATGAATGCTGGTTGTTCTGTAGTTTAGTTGTAACTTTGATGTGGTTGTGGGAAGACACGATACCGCATTTATCTACGCCGCCATCTTGACCAGAAGTCCACCTTTAGAATTTTTAAAACGTTATTTTAAAAATTTTCTTAACTTTATTGGGATTACATTGGTTAATAAAATTATATAGGTTTCAAGTGTACCCATTCCATAGTACATCACTTGTATGTTGTATTGTGTGTTTACCACCCAAAGTCAAGTTTCTTCTGTCCCCATTTATCCCCCCTTTTACCATCTTCCACCTCCCCTGGTCCTGCCCTTTCCCTCTGGTAATCACCATACTGTTGTCTGTGTTTGTGACTATTCTGTTTTGCTTAATCTCTTCACTGTTTTTCACCCAGCCCTCTCAACACCCTTCATTCTGATAGCTTTCTGTCTGTTCTCTGTATCTATGAGTCTGTTTCTATTTTATTTGTTTATTTTGTTGAGTAGATTCTACATGTAAGTGAAATAATATGATATTTGTCTTTCTCTTAGTGGCTTATTTCACTTAGTATAATACTCTCCAATCTATTCATGCTGTTACAAAGATAAGATTTCCTTCCTACAGCCAAGTAGTATTCCATCTGTTGAAAAGTCTTTGTCTTTCTGTTCCCTTTCAATAGAAACTTTTATGGTTGCTGGATTCATTGGGCATTTTTTAAATGCATTTTCTCTATTATTCTGGAGTGTTTTTAGATGTATAGGTAGAAGTTTGGGTGGCCTACTTTGTTTCTTAATTCCAAAGAACCTTGCTTGATTGATACAAATACAGAAGTGGAATTCCTTTAATAGATATTGTACTCTTTTGGTATGATTTAGGAATTTTAAATTATGTACAGATTTTAACATCTCAATCTCCTGACCCTTAAATGCTTTTTATTCTTTCCCTTTATCACCATGCCTCCCGAGATACCTCCTTTTTTCAAGGTGCCACTTTCCTCCCTCAGAAATGAAATCTCAAGGCTCTCACTTTTGGTGACAGCTTTTCCCATATACTTTCCAGACTTCTTCCTTTTGACCTTTCCATAGCTATTGCTTTGATTCACTGTTTCCCAAATCTCTTTAGATTTGCCTGTGAGGAGTTTGACCCTCTTTTGGTCGTGAGCCTTAGCTAGTGTATATGGTTTTTGCCACCTCTAAGATCTTATCAGACCTTCCTCTATTTTAGAGGCCTCGTCTGACTCTGTACTTTTGGTGGCTCCAGAGCAAACTCAGTTTTGCCTCAGATTTTTAATTTCCAATTCCATGTAAAATGAAGTGCTATTTATGTTTCCTAGTTATGCCATAGATGGGAACTGTATGTGGTTTTGTTTGCCCTTCTTAATGATCTGTTTATATTTTGGAAAGGGTGTAGGGATATTGAAATTTAAATGCTCTTATTATCCTATATGATAACCTGGACTCTAGCCCTTTTATAAGTATTTTGCTGTCAAGTTTCTACATAACTATGAGATTGAACCATATAAAATCGTAATTTTTGTGACTTAACTATTGAATATCAGCAATTATATATGGTTCTCCCTAATAGAAAGGTAAGCAAGCTCTTTGATTTTGTGTTTTGTTCTTAGCGAAATGTTATATGCTATAGGCATTATTTTTAGTATTAATTCCAAGGTGATAATGGCTGCATTTTTAAATCAGCTTTACTGAGGTTTAATTTATATGTAATAAAATGTCCTCATTCTAGTGTACATTTAATTGGTATTGACAGTTGTTTATTACTTATGTAACGACTAACTATTAAGATAACAGGACATTTTTATAACTCTGACAAACTCCATTGGGTACCCTTGCCTTTGTAGTCAGACCTACTCTCAATTATAGGAAACCATTAAACCTCTTTCTGTCATCAGATTAGATTTCTAAACGCCACGTTTCTAAATTGCCCTGTGGGTCTTGCAAAATCTGAAACTTGCTTTTTTTTCTTCTCCATATATGTGTGCTGTTCTCAGATACTTTTCACTTGTGAGTTCATCTGTCCATCCATTCATCCATTTTCTGCCTGTCACTTTAAATTTCAGGTGCTTTGAACTGATGTCTATCTCTGCAAGATCCAGGTTCTTTTTATCTTTCATGCCGTTGTTCATGCTAGTCTTTCTGCCAGGAAAGCACTTCTTTCCTTAATTAATATTCTTTCTTGCCTGGTTTATTCCTACTATTTTCAAAAATCATCTTATATTAATGATTTTGAGTGGGTTAGGCATTTATAAATTGTATTTTGTCTTTATTGTATTTTCTTTATTGTTATATAAATTGTTTGTGTTCTTTACTAGTCTGAGCTGTCCTGCCACCTGTGTGCATTAAATACATGATAGGTACTTAATAAATGTTTAATTCATGATGAATGCATTTCAACTCCTATATGTAGAGTTAAAACTAAATTTCAATGGGATAAGTGAAAAAAAGTCTTAAATTATAGGTACCTATAAAAATTGAGGTTGAACTCATAGCATCTTGTTAGTGTGAGGATACCTGGGCATTGTTCCCCTAGACCATAGTTTTACTTGCAGATAGCAGTTTTAAATCAATTCCTCAATTCTTACTTTTCTTACCATGTGGTTTTGGAACTTTACCAAGGAGTGTCTATGAACAAAAAGGTATAGCTTTGTTCAAAGTATGAGCTATATGTAATAATAATGTGATTTATTCTAAGAATTTAAAAAGAAAGAATTGTCAGATTCCATTCTCCTTCACTTTAAGTAGCTTCGATAAAGTACATCAGTTAATTGTTTTTAGATGTATATCTCCTGTCAAATTGTGAGCTTAAGGGCCAGAGCTAGGTCTTACTAGTCTTTCTGTTAGATTTCTTGGCTTTAATAGCTAATAAGTGTTGGAATTTATCCTATGGTTCATGTTTGTTCTATACCCAGGCATAGTGTCCTACTGTATTCATCCTAAAATAATATCAGATACAAAAAAATTATTTAAGGTTTTACCAGTTACCAGTTTCTGATTCTGCAGAGCAACCTGATATGAGCTATACTATGAGAATTTAAAATGATACATCATGGAATATTTTCATTTTAGGAGTATAGGAATTGGGACTAGCAGGAATAGGCTCTTGATACACAGAAGTAATTTTTCTTTTTTTAAAATATTTTTTCTTTATTGATTTTAGAGAGAGGGAAAGGGAGAGAGAGAGACAGATAGAAACATCGATAAACAAGAACAATTGGCTGCCTCTGCATGCCTCCCACTGGGGATTGGGCCCATAACATGGGCATGTACCCTGACTGGGATTCAAACTGTGACCTCTTGGTGCATGGGTTGATACTCAACCAGTGAGCCACACCCGCCAGGCCACAGAAATACTTTTTTACAAAAACCACTACTGTGTTTAAACCTTTGTTCTTTCTGAATGTATACTTTTATGAAATGATACTATTTTTACCTAAACTAGATTTTATACCCTTTTTTCAGAGCAAATAAGAAGATAAATAATTCTGAATGTATTGACAACTTGACTTTCATAAACCAGAAGGGATCTAGAAAACAACTATTGGGATATTTGTCTAGTACCAGCAAAACTGGCTCAGAATTAACTATGACTATTATTCTTGTTGTATGCTGTAACTGAATAGCTGAAGGATCTAAGCTTTTCTGGAGGAACTTATGTTTCAGTTAAGAATAAAGTTTAGCAGTATATATAGACACATCTGTACAACATACTTTTTATTTATTCAACATAAACTATGATTGTGCTTTGTATATGGTAATTTTTTTAAAAAATGAAAGTGCTAAAAGTTTCTCAACGTCTATGATAATTTAAAAATAGGAATCTAATTTTAAAGTTCTACATTTTGATTAATAGAGGCTAGTCTTATTTCATTTTCTTTTATATTCATACTTAGTGTTTTAAAATATAACTTTATTTTGTCTTGTAGTATATGCAGAGAATATTTTCAAAATGGTGGAAAGAGAAAAGCACTTGAAAAAGATAAGAAAAGAGCTGTACTTGCCACTAAGACCACTCCAGCCTTAAATATACATGAGCAGTCTAAACTTGAAGGTCATTTAACCAACCTCAACTTTACAAATTCTGAAATTATAGCTGAGTAAGTATACTTTTTCTACTTCAATTACTAACATTATCCTGGATAGCTTTGTTAATAATGTAAAATAGTGCGATGTTTTACACCAAATATCGGGCAGTATACTTGCTCCTCTGATAATACGTTAGGCTGAGAAGTGTGGATGTATAGTATTACTAGGTAGGAGATATGCATAAATTTTTAAGGGTTATTCGGAAAACTAGTGGTTCTATACCATAGACTGTCTTCACCAAAAAATGAGAAAGAATAATTTATTAAATGTTATAATAATTATGCTTATGGTAATAAAAAGAATCAAAACAGGCAAATCCAATTAAATTATGTTTAAATTTGCTATTCACTAAGAAATCACAAATAAGGAATAATGAAATAATACTAATAGAACCAGTTTTCATTATTTTACTCTTCATAGGGAAATCTGTCTGGTAGTAATCAGTGTATGCATATAGGCACAAATTTTATTTAATAAGTACATGAGTGTTTTTCTAGTTTTATTGAGACATAATTGACATATAAATTAGGTAAGTTTAAGATATATGACATAATGATTCGGTATATGTATATATTACAAAATGGTTACCAAAGTAACTTTAGTTAACATCCATTACCTGAAATAGTTAACATTCTTCACCTCACATAATTGTAAATGTTTTTCCTATGCTGAGAACTTTTAAGGTCTACTATCTTAGCATCTTTCAAATATGTAATACAGTATTGTTAACTATAGTCATCATGTTGTACATACATCCCCAGAACTTATTTATCTTATAACTGAAAGTTTGTACCTTTCACTGCCTGCCCCCTATATCCCCTACCCTCTGCCTTTGGCATCCACAAGTCTGATCTGTTTCTTTGTGTTTGATATTTTTAGATTTCACATAGAAGTGAGATCATACAGCATTTGTCTTTCTCTGTCTGATATATTTTATTTAGCATAATGCCTTCAAAGTTCATCCATGTGGTCCCAAATGCAGGATTTTCATCTTTTTAGTGACTAAATCGTATTCCTTTGTGTATATATACATGTAGGTACATGAGTAGTATGATCCAGTAATGTTAAAATTATTTAAACACTCTAATACCAGAATACATTTGTGGTTTCAAGATATATTTTATTAATCTCTTAGATATGCTAAACTTGAGTAATTCTAGAAGCATTCTTGATAGACACTGAAAGCTAACCATGAAAACAAAATTAAAGTAACTTCTTAAAAGAAGTTGAAATCTGTAGATATTAATGAAATAACTGTTGGTTATTTTGATTTTGCACAATGTTGAAAATATCTAGTTAGTTAATAGCAACTATATTGAAAAATTAACATACTTGTGATTAGTTCAGTAGAAGATAACACATCCTTACCTTTATTTAAAGGTTACAGCAAAGCTTAAAAAGCATAGTGACTGACTACACAACCTGTAACAGGTATTATGAATATTTTTAAAAGTTTGATCAGTATAAGAAATTACAGTTATATTGCTATCAAAGATAGGCACATATAGAAAATAACCCTAGAATTTATTCTTTTTAAGTGTTACAAACTGTATACAGTTTATTAAATTCCTTTTTTAAAAGATTGCATGCAAAGGTCTAATATTCACAGAAGACAATTTTTTAAAAAATGTATTGTTGACAGTATTATAGATGTCTCCCATTTTCCTTGTTTACCCTCCGCCTCCACGCAGCCCCACCCCAGGCCTTCCCCATGCTATTGTCGGTTTCCACGGGTTGTGCATATATGCATATATGTTCTTTGGTTCATCTCTTTTCATACCCTCCACCTACCTCCACTCTGAGATCTTTCATTCTGTCCATGAATCCATGCCTCTGGACCTACTTTGTTCAGCAGTTTATTTTATTCTTTAGATTTTACATATATTTGCCTTTCTCTCACTGGCTTATTTCGCTTGGCATAATAATCTCCAGGTCCATCCATGCTGTCCCAAAGGGTAAGTGTTCCTTTTTTTTTTTTTTTTTTTTTAACAGCCGCATAGTATTACATTGTGTAAATCTTCCTCAGCGTTTTTATCCATTTGTCTACTAGTAGGCACTTGGGATCTTTCCATATCTTAACTACTGTAAATGTCGCTGCTATGAGCATAGCGGTGTATGTATAGTTTCTAATTGGTGTTTTGAGATTCTTAATATATATTCCCAGAAGTGGGATGCTGGGTCAAACAGCAGTTTCATTTTTAATTTTTTGAGGTAATTCTATATTGGTTGAGAAAACTCCAGTGGCTGCACCAGTCTACATTCCCTCCAGCAGTGTACTAGGGTTCCCTTTTCTCTTCACCTGCAACAGCACTTATTGTTTCTTGATTTATTGACACTAGCCATTCTGGCAGATGTGAGGTGATACCTAATTGTAGTTTTAATTGCATCTCTCTGATGATTGGTGATGCTGAGCATTTTTTCATGTCTATTTTCCATATGTCTATATGTCCTCTTTGAAGAAGTGTATAATCAGATCCTTTGCCCATTTTTTAATTGGATTGTTTGTCTTTCTAGTTTTGTAAGGGTTCTTTGTATAGTTTGGAAATTAACCCTTTATCAGATGTATCATTGCTAAATATGTAGTGGGTTACCTTTTCATCTTGTTGGTGGTTTCTTTTGCTGTGCAGAAGCTTTGCAATTTGATGTAGTCCCATTTGTTTGTTTGTTTTTTTTCTTTTAGTTTTCTTGCCCTAGTAGATATATCAGTGAAAATACTGCTACATGAGATATCTGAGATTTTACTGCCTATGTTTTCTTGTAGGATTTTCAGTTCCACTACTTACATTTAAGTCTTTAGTCAAGTTTTAGGTTATTTTTGTGTATAGTGTAAATTGGTGGTCTAGTTTCATTTTTTTGCATGTACCTATTGAATTTTCCCAGCACCACTTAATGAAGAGACTGTCTTTAGTCTGTTGAATGCTCTTGCCTCTTTTGTTGAATATTAAATGAGCAGTTGGGCATGGATTGATTTCTGGAGTCTCTGTTATGTTGCAATAGTCTATATGCCTGTTCTTGATTACAGTGGCTTTGTAGTATAGTTTGATATCTGGTATTGTGATCCCTCTAACTTTGTTCTTTTTTGTCAAGATTGCTGAGGCTTGTTGGGATTTTTTCTTTTATTATTTCATATAAATTTTTGCAATTTTGTGAAATATACCTTTGGAATTTTAATACGGATTTGTTGAATCTTTAAATTGCTTTGGGTAGTATGGATATTTTAATAATGTTGATTTTTCTAATCCATGAACATGGTGTCTCCTTCCACTTTTTCATATCTTCCTTTATTTTTTCCCCCAGTGTTCTATGGTTTGCTGAGAAATAGGTCTTTTACCTGTTTGGTTAAGTTTATTCCTAGGTATCATATTTTTCTGTTGCAGTGGTAAATGGGATTGCTTTTGTAAGTTTTCCTTTTTTTTCCTTTAATTTATTTATTTTATTAATTTATTTTTGTTACAGATGTTTCTCCTTTTTTATCCCTAGACACCTTCCTCCCAATCCTGCCCTCTCCTTCCCCACCCCAGCATTGTTGTCTGTGTCCATTAGTTATGCATAGATGCATATAAGTTCTTTGGTTTATCTTATCCATCCTACACACACCCCTCCTCTGAGGTCTGTCAGTCTGAACCATACTCCTTTCTATGTCTCTGGGTCTATTTTGTTCATCAGCTTATTTTGTTCATTATATTCTACAAATAAGTGAGATCATGTGGTATTTGTCTTTTTCTGCTTGGCTTCTTTCACTTAGGATAATACTTCCCAGGTCCCTCCATGTCGTCTCAAAGGATAAGAGATCTTTCTTTCTTACCGCTGCATAGTACTCCATTGTGTATATGTACCACAGCTTTTTTATCCATTCGTCTACTGGTGGACACTTGGGCTGTTTCCAGATCTTAGCTATTGTAAATAGTGCTGCTATGAACATGGGGTTACATATATTCTTCCTGATTGGTGTTTCAGGCTTCTTAGGGTATATTCTCAGCAGTGGGATCACTGGGTCAAATGGAAGTTCAATTTTTAATTTTTTGAGGTAGCACCATATTGTTTTCCATAGCGGCTGCACCAGTCTGCATTCCCACCAGCAGTGTACTACAGTCCCCTTTTCTACACACCCTTTCTAACACTTTTTGTTTGATAATTTGTTGATAGCTGATATTCTGGCAGGTGTTGTTTTAATTGGCATCTCTCTGTTGATTAGTGATGTTGAACATTTTTTCACATGTCTCTTGGCCATTTGTATTTCCTGTTTGGAGAGGTGTCTCTTTAGGTCCTCTGCCCATTTTTCAATTAGTTTCTTTGTCATCCTTTTGTTGAGTTGTGTGAGAACTGTATATATTTTGGAAATTAACCCTTTTATCTGATGTATCATTGGCAATTATGCTCGGCCGTGTATTGGGTTGCCTTTCCATGCTAGTGGTTGTTTCTTTTGCTGTGCAGAAGCTTTTGAGTTTGATGTAGTCCCATGGTTCATTTTCCCTTTGTTTCTCTTGCCTTAGGTGATGTGTCAGTGAAAATTCTGCAGCGTATGATGTCTGAAATTTTGTTGCCTACATTTTCTTCTAGGAGTTTTATGGATTCACAAATCACAATTAAGTCTTTTATCCATTTTGAATTTATTCTTGTGTATGGTGTAAGTTGGTGGTCTAGCTTCATTTTTTTTTTTTTTGCATGTAGCTGTCCAATTTTCCCATCATCATTTATTAAAGAGCCTGTTTTGACTCTGCTGTATGCTCTTGCCACCTTTGTCAAATATTAATTGAGCATATTGTCTTGGGTCTGTTTCTAGGTTCTCTGTTCTGTTTCATTGATCTGTGTGTTTGTTCTTGTGCCAGTACCAGGCCGTTTTGATTACAGTGGCTTTGTAGTATAACCCGATGTTTGGTAATATGATCCCTACTACTTTGTTCTTCTTTTTCAAAATTACTGTGGCTATTCAGGGCCTTTTTTGGTTCCATATAAACTTTTGGAATATTTGTTCTAGTTCTATGAAGTATATCATTAGTATTTTGATGGG